AAGCAAAGCATTTATGAGTAGAAGGCCACCTCTGTCAATTGATCGAAGGTGATCTCGCTCCGTTTAGGAAGCTTCCAGTGCAAAATGATTCAACGTAACTGTAAGAGACTCGACACCCTCTAACAAGTTAAATTTTGTACAGGACTGTATCCGCTTATTGAGTGCCGTTTGGTGGATGGACTGTGATTCATAATGATTAGTAGTATTTTTTCCTCAAAATAAAAATGCCAGAAAAATCAATGGTAAACCAGTAATGATGTTCTGTCCCTGGAGAAACCCCACCCTCAAGGAGGAATATCGTTGGAAATAGCCGGTAAATATTTTTGTATGCTGGTGATTGGGGGCTCATACTTCAGCAAAGATACCGCTTATCTAAACTGGCGTTCTGAAGTTGTGTGTTATTATTTGAATTTGCAGTATGTGAGCCTTGCCGGTGAATCCATGACAGCTGGGTTGAGTTGAGCCTTATTCGACTGAACTAGTGAGGTCTACGAAAAAATCTACGAACTGCGCATAACAGTTTAGCTTTGATTAATTGCGAGATTTCAAACGTATGTTTTTGTTCATCCCAGTACCTATTACAAGCGTGCCTTCTAAACGGACCGCGAGATAGAGGCTATGGACCAAGATGGGGCCAGATCAGGGCATGGCAAGCCTTATTCGATACATTTTCTAGCCACATTTTTCTCATATAGGGAGCTCTATCTTTCCCTTAATAAATCTGAGCAGAACGAAAAAAACAAATGCCGAACATGGGCAGGGGGAAGCGTTGGTAGCACACGTAAATGCAGACTCAGGCACAAACGACTATATACCTTTATGGCAGGCTTAGCGGTTGCGACCACGTGCGTCCAATCCCGCCCCCGGTCTTCTTATCTCTATTTCCACACCGGCCTCAGGTGAGTGAGTAAGGGAAGAGGGAGAGTGCGGTAGATGCAACGCAAATCTACTAGCACTTAGAACTAATCCCCACGTAAGTCACCGTCCCTGCACCACCACACTGTTGAGCACGC